AAAGTGGCTCTGCCGAGAAGGACCTGGGAGTGCTGGTGGGCAACAAGTTAAACATGAGGCAGCAGTGTGCCCTTGTGGCCAAGAAGGCCCATGGTATGCTGGGGTGCATTAGGCAGAGTGTTGCCAGCAGGTGGAGGGAGGTGATCCTGCCCCTCTCCTCAGCCCTGGGGAGGCCTCACCTGGAGTACCGTGTCCAGTTCTGGGCTCCCCAGTACAAGAGAGACATGGCACTACTCTGTCATGCTGCAAGTGACACAGGACCTACATATGGGTTTCCGCACCGGTTTGGAGTCTCCACCTCACTCCCTGCCCAGCATCCACTCCTGCAGGTGACCCCAGTCCCTCCTAACCCTCCCCACCCCTGCCCAGTGATCTGAAAACTCCCACTAGCAAGCCGCATCCCACCACCCCTGTTGGAAAATCCTGCCTCAGGACAAGAGGCAACGGGCAGAAACTGAACCACAGGAAGTTCCCTCTGAACCTGAGGAAAAACTTCTTCACTGTGAGGGTGACAGAGCATTGGAGCAGGTCGCCCAGAGAGGTGGTGGAGTCTCCTTCGCTGGAGATATTCAAAACCCACCTGGACGTGATCCTGGGCAATGTGCTCTAGGTGACCCTGCTTGAGCAGGGGAGTTGGACGAGATGATCTCCAGAGGTCCCTTCCAACCCCAGCGGTTCTGTGACCCTGTTTGCTGTTGGCCGCCTGAGTCGAGCGTGGGGATAGTCCAGGGCACGTCTCCCTTCTCCGCGCGCGAGCTCCCGTCTCAGGGGACCTGCTGAGGAGCCGGTGGCTTCGGTTCGGTCCTGGCTCTGCCACGGGCTTCCCGCACGACCTTGGGCCAGCTGCTGAGCTCCCTACCTACCTGTTTCCCATCTGTTAGAGACCAAGCGGGTTTATTAAAGGGACGGTGTGAAGATCAGTAAATTGTGAGGCTATTATTAGCTATTACACTGCTAGGGCCCAAATGTTCCCATTTGCTGTAACAGCTCAAGAACTGAAGCAGGCAGAGAAAAGCTTCACGAAAATCCAGCGTTTTCTCTCAGGAGCCTCCTTGCAAAGGACAGAGGTGGGTTTTCCTTTATAGCCAGCTCCTCACGCGTTTTATGAAGTTGCGATGCCCAGATTTTCCCAAACTGCCTTCGTTGCAGCCTGCGAAACAGCCCCCAGTAGCCTTTGGCTCATGGAACCGCTCCAACGTGCTTAATGTTACCTGCATTTATCATAACGCGCAGGAGCCAGAGGCGGCAGAGGGAAGGAGGAGGGAGAGGCCGGGTAATTCATCGCTCAACAGCCCCAGCAGGAGCGGCTGCTCTAGTCCCCAAATCACTTTGCTTTCTCGTTCCCAAAGTTCGCGGGAGCGTAAATCAGGAGCGGGGTTCGGATCTGTGAATCATCTGTCACGCCAAAAGCTGTTGGCTACAACCTCTGCGTGACTCACAGTGGGGGGAAAAAAATTATAAATAAAGCGTGGGGGCGGGGGAAATGACTAATTGAGTGCAATAATTAAAAAAAAAAACAGCTCCCAAAAAAGCTGAGCGCGTTTCTTCAGCAATCAGTGGCCCGAGCGAGCGGTGCGAAAGCCCCCGGGATTTGCCGGAGCTCGGGAACGGCGGAGCATTAATATAAAGGGCAGCATCATCCGGCAGGACGCCACCGGGCGGGTGGTCACACGGCGCGGTCGAAACACCGCTTAGGGGCTTCGCATCCGCCTCCGCCTCCGCTCCGGATGCTGGAGCTGGGCTGGGGCAGCCAGGCCAAGCTAGAGCGCAACATGTTAACGCGCCGAAGTCACGAGCGTTGTCTTCGGCCCCGAACAAATCGGGCGGATGAGGC